AATTGTAATAAACTAATAGCGTTTGCGTGTAGAATCTGGAGGTATCTTTTTGCCGCATATAATATACATCATGCATATATAATTATAGTACATGCACAACGTCACCGTGCGCGAGCTACGAGACTAGGTTGACGATTTAAAGTATACGGTAGCGTCTTAACGGTATTCATGTGGACTAGCAATACAGCGAACACGGCGGTCCAAGCTTCACCCGTTATTGAAATTACACAGGTGTACCAGACTATGAATGTTTCCTTGTATTTCTGCGGGGTGCCGGTATGCAAAACCAATCCAATCAGTAGAGTTCCCGATACTCAATCGATCGCTATTAGCTCTCGCCTTGCGCCCGTGTTCATCTGATTGATCGTATGGCGGTAAATAATTTATCAGCCTTCAATCAGGTCAATTATGATCATTGCTATCTTTGTTGCGTGCACGCTTGATGTCGCCACCGTCTTAGAAAGCATTTCATAATATCCACGGTTCGTTGTTGTACTCACCTATATGTATTACAACCACACAACTATATATATTCTAGATAACATGGGAATCTACTAGGATTATACTACCAATATATGTGTAGAAAATTTAAAAGAATGGCTCTAAACGTAGAATTATGTACTTCGGGGGAATATCAGTGGTTGTACTAATAACACTAATGATAATTGTACTAATAGTGGTTGTATAAGGACAATTTAGTTTGCAGCTCAACTCGGTAGATGACGCCAACTACTCGTCCATTAACTATTTCTGCTACGTGCGAGCTAGAGGTGTTGAACAACAGTAGAGGGCGTCCATAGGCGGCAGGCCTGAATAAGCATCGAACAGAAATTAATTAAAAATACTCACATTGTTACTGCGCTTACACAACATACACTTTATTTATGTTAAATAACTACAGATTCATACTCTATGCTCCGCTTGAAACTTTTGCCAGCTCTATGATGCGAATTTCTACAGAGTAGTCGGATCCCGTTTCATACACAAAAACGGCCGACCGGCGACCATGGCTACGACACTAGCTGGAATGGCACAATTACACGACAAGAACAATTTTACTTCTAATGCTTTCTAGACGTCCACGAGACATCTAACTTGAGTCATAATGCAAGTTATCGCACTCTAGTGACGAATTTCACCGAAACAAATAAAAAAGCCTTTTTCTAGAGACCAAATAGTGCAACATTGGTGAGCAATTTGCGAAGGGTTACTGTTGTATGCGCCCTAGAATCTCGAGGGTAGTCACACTTGGTTTGTGATTTGCAATTAATGTATATTGACTCTCAACGGATGTTCTTTTGTTTACAGAACGGTACCGTACCAGTTAACGCCGAATACTTTGCTCAACTCTGGAAGGAATATTTTACTAGCGATGACCTCAATGCGCCCGGAAATCGACTTTTCGGTTAAAATCACGTGGTCGCGGATCCGCGTGACGTCAGTACGGAGTTCGTGGTTTGAAGGACATTTACCAATGGCATATACGAAAACGTTGTTATGTGAAAGTAACTATATTTTATGTTGAATCTATGCATTTATATCCTGTCGGCAACAGCCAAACACGTCTAGCTGTTTTTATCAAGCCGAGTGAAGTACTGTCGAAACTGTTGCTAAACGATTGACTACATGGATTTATCATGAAATAACATTACGCTCATATTTTTAAGGAAATCCAAGTTTAGATGTGATATTTTTATTTGATTTTCGTTAGCTACAGTATTATCGCGATGCATTGTGTAATACAGACGTGTTTGTAATAAAGATGACAATAATAAATGTGTAATGATCCAGCAAGCATGCCTATACGTCACTTCACTGCCATTTTGAATATGTATAGAACATTTGTAGTTTCATCTCCAAATGTTATTTAGCTATTTAGCTAGTGTGTGGCGGAGGGGGTGCCTGCGTACGTGTGTGGGTCAGTCAGTCAGTCAGTCCGTCAGTCAGTCACAGACATCAGTCAGTCAGTCAGTCAGTCAGTCAGTCAGTCAGTCAGTCAGTCAGTCAGTCAGTCAGTCAGTCAGTCAGTCAGTCAGTCAGTCAGTCAGTCAGTCAGTCAGTCAGTCAGTCAATTAGCTAGTCAGTTAGTCAGTCAGTCAGTCAGTCAGTCAGTCAGTCAGTCAGTCAGTCAGTCAGTCAGTCAGTCAGTCAGTCAGTCAGNGTGTGCGTGGGTGCGGGCGTGCGTGCGTGCGTGCGGCCGTGCGGGCGTGCGTGTGAGCGAGCGAGCGTGCGTGCATGCGTACATGCGTGCGTGCGTACGTGCGTGTGTGCATACGTGCGTGCGTGCGTGCGTACGTGCGTGTGTGCATACGTGCGTGCGTGCGAGGATACGTGCGTGTGTGTGTACGTGCGTGTGTGCGTACGTGCGTGCGTGCGTGCGTACGTGCGAGCGTGCGTGTGAGCGAGCGAGCGTACGTGCGTGCGTGCGTGCGTACGTGCGAGCGTGCGTGTGAGCGAGCGAGCGTACGTGCGTGCGTGCAGGCCTGTGTGCGTGCGTGTGAGCGAACGCAGGTGCGTTCGTGGCCGCGTAGGTGTAGGAAGCTTAAGCTTTGTTACTTACCCTGAGCATCACAGTCACCGCCCTTTGAGTATTTATTGACGAAGTAAACAGCAAATATAGGAACTCCGGCTATCATCAATGAGATTGAATTTGCCTTTGTTCTTCCGAACCTGAAATTAGAACGTGATGGCAATAAAAAGATACATCGATGCTAAGCTGATAAGTCTGTGTAAATATTAGCCAGTGCATGAACAATAAAAAGAATAATAGGTAACATAATTGCATAACTAAAGTACCTAGATGTAAATACAGGTAACGCTGCATACCTGCAAAACATCAGCTTGTGTGTGTGTGTGTNATGGAATTACTCATGGAAAAAATCTCTTTGATTTTTTTAAATAAAATTTTAACTAAATCGACATGGCAATAACAGCTATTGATGTTGATTGTCTACTGATGGGATAATTATAGCTTAATAATCGGGCAAAATAGTGCTCGTTGATTTTTAATCAAAATAAACATTCGATTGCAAAATCAAATTAAAACTGTTGCCGGATCGAACTGTAACCTTAGCTGCACGTTATAATTAATGGCTTTCACATTTTGCATTACGTACAGCCTTACAACAATTCACCTTGTTATCGTCACAATTCAACAATAACTTTTGCATTTAAAATCTTTTTTTTTAACTTTTTTTTTACACCTACCACGACTATGGTCAATGGCGCCAGCATCGCTCCAATGCGAGCAATTGCCGACGATAGACCGACCCCCGTATTTCTGAAACAATTATACGGATGCGGACATATACGGTTAGACGATGTATTGACAAACTATTATCGCCAGTCTAGCATTTAGAAACGGTAGGTTTACACAATGAAGTAGGTTTGCTGTAATATATGTACAAAAACAAAGAGAAACAAAGTGTCAGGGAAAGTATTATTATTAGGGAATAACATATGGAAGTATAGCGTAATAATAGTGGAAGGGAATAGTATTGTTGCACTGTTCCTAATTGTTACAATTCATACTGATTCATTAACCAGCAGAGTGAGTTTACTAACCTAACAACGGTGGGGTAGAATTCTGTCGTGTACAAAAACACGCAATTGAACGCAGACGATATTCCCAACTTTCCCAGCATCGTCAACGTCGTCACCAGCCATCCGAGATCTAACAGAAAATATCCGCGTATTTTTAGCATTAGAGCTACTCTACGTAGTCAGTGAAGCGATTGAAAGCATCCCGTGAAATCACTCGATGGGGAGGGTGCGTGCGTGCGTTGTCGGCGTGGTTGCGTGCGTGCGTGCGGGCGCGGCGTTGCGGGGTTGCGTGCGAGCCGGGCGTGCGTACGTGCGTGCGTGTGTGCGTGGTGTCGCGGCGTGCGTGCGTGCGTGCGGCGTCGCGGGCGGCGAGCTTTTTTTTTCCAGTCGAACTAGAATTTTAGCGCTTACTGATTGGCTGCCTGTCGATTTGCTTTCCTTTGACAGAGGAAACAAACGCCCATTGTAACATAGCGATAAGATTGCAATTACTTTGCAATATACCCTAACCCTACCCCCCTAGAACCTAACCCTAACCTAACCCACCCTAATGCCTAACACTAACCCTACCCTAATCCACTAATTTAAATTTAAGTAACACTAATAATGATAAATAAATTAATTAAAAAAAATTTTCATTAATATTTATTGGTTTGTAATCAGTCATGCACCCATATGCTCCGTAATTTTAGAAACAATAGTTATAATGGATAAAGATAGAAACAATACAGAAACAAAAAATAATTAAAAACCGAAATCGAACCAACGACCTTTCAGAAGTAAAACGCCGGTGGGCCTTATCCATCACGCCACAGATGCACCGCGTACAAGAAACAGTACAGATGACTCATTGTACAAAATAAGGCAAACACGCGCTGTTTTTAGAACCAATCAGGAGGCGCTGACGTGATGCAGTGACGTTGAGTGAGCAGCAATCAGAACAGTCGAAAATCCCTGCAACCGGATATGTCGACTGGCGAAAAAAAAACCGCGGTGCGGCGCGTGCCGTCGTGAGCGAGCGAGACTGGTGCGTACATGCGTTCGTTGCTACGTGCGTGTGTGCATACGTGCGTGCGTGCGTAGCGTTACGTTCGTGTGTGCGTATACCGGTGCGTAGCGGTGCGACGGTATACGTGGTGTGTTGTGTACGTGCGTGTGTGCGTACGTTGGTTGGTGCGTGCGTACGTGCAGAGCGTGCGTGTGAGCGACGCGATGCTACTGTGCCGTGCGCGGTTGCGGTACGTGCGAGCGTGCGTTGTTCGAAGCGAGCGCGCCGTACGTGCGTGCGTGCAGGCCTGTTGTGCGCTGCGTGTTGAGCCGAACGCAGGGTGCGTTCGTGGCGCGTAGCGGTAGGAAGCTTAAGCTTTGGTACTTATCCCTGAGCATCACAGTCACCGCCCTTTGAGGGTAGTTTTATTGAACGAAGTAAACAGCAAATTATAGGAACCTCCGGCTATCATCAAGTGAGATTGACATTTGCCTTTGGTCCTCCGAACCTGAAAATTTAACACGTTTGATGGCAATAAAAAGATCCATCGATGCTCAGCTGATAAGGTCTGTTAGAATTCATATTAGCCATGTGCCATGAGACCCTAATAAAAACAATATATAGGCTACACATAATCTGCGCAATAACTAGCCATACCTGCAAAACATCAGCTTGGTGTGTGTGTTGTGTGTGTGTGTCGTGTCGTGTGCTGTGTGTGCGTGATGTGTGTTGTGCGTTGCCGTGCACCGCGTGTGTGTGTCGCTCTTTATTGACGATTGAAGCCCACCTTACGCATTAATTTAATATATAATATAATGCACTATATAATGAAGAGCTTTGTATTTGCGCGCTTGCGTGTTTACCATTTGATCTGTCTGCAATGCAATCAGAGTGCCGGTACGCGTCCACTGCCACGGTGAGCGAAAGACGTTCAGGATATCTTGTTTCCTGAGAGCGACGCGACGCGCCAATAGGGACTAAGCCATAGTAGGAACTCCTGACATTGACGATCCTGATACGCACGATATGACAAACAATCTTACCGCGCGTGATGATCTTGTTCAGCGCCATTATGCAATGACACTTCGTATTCAGTACGCCGAGTCATTACCAAAGCAATGGATGACTTGTGTCTTCCGGCTCGTACGGACAGTTCGTCGATGAATGTGAGTTCACAAGATCGCAGTCAACTGAATATCGAATTCATTAAACACTTGTCTTCAGCAGAAGTACAAGAACTCTCACGGGGGGAAGGCACATTTACATATGTCTGCGTGGGTTTCTAGCAGGGGTCGTCTTCCGTTCGCCAAGACAAGATGTGTATTATGCGGCCATGTATACTTATATATATATTATCAATATACTATATATGACTATACACACCACACACGTACACAACACACACACACACACACACACAGCACACACACACACACAACACACACACACACCACACCACACACACACACACCACCACACACACCAACACACACACACCCAACACACACAACATATATATATGTATCTAGTATATATGCATGCGTAGTACTATTTAACAGACCGGTGTGACACAAGCACAGTATATGTAACACGAACACGAAGATTTCGCTATCAATCTGACAATGTAATCGGAGGTATATAGATAATATTTACCAAGCGTCAACACAACATTAATTCGAGCTCAGCGCGAAATACCGGTAGCGCTTACTTTATTATTCACTCCTGATATAAGCTATCGCGTTCACGCCAGGGGTTTGCTTACCATATAAAGAACATTAGCGTGCCATACATGCGCAGCCCCGGCGTACGATAAACATCGATAAAGGAATAACGTCTGCTAGTAGATTTGTCGTCGGCCACGTCCACTGAAGTCTCGACGTCTTTGTCTCGCAGTAACTTCTCCTCGGTTTCTGCGTCGGTCGGCTGCGCGGCCGTGAGGCAGTTCTGCGGTAGTTCGCATCCATTGATGCGAGCGTATCGCTGTAGACACTGCTCAGCTTCCTGCAGTCTGTTCCTAGCGACCAGCCAGTGCACCGACTCAGGAAGTATCCTGTAGTGTAGCGTGTGAGACACAGCTATATGCCGATGTACATTTCGCAATTTTGTCGTCAGCCCGAAAGCAACGGTGTTGTTCAGTGCAGATAGAACACCAGTACTTACGCGTCTAGTAGATAGTGAGGCGGTGAAATAGAGAGTAACCCACACATTACATCTAGGGTTAGCAATGTGATTTTCTCAACCGAATCTCTCTAAAATTGACAAAACCTTGCACCGTTCGACATTCGTGCGTGCAAGCATGCATTGTTTTACCTGCATGCATCTTTCCCAGCGAGTTGCGTTTATAAGTGTGA